ATACTTGACTTTTGCTATCACATTTCTATGTACCTTGCCAATCGGCGTGTTCAGTGTTCTTGAAAACTATGCATTTCTATGACACTGCAGGTGAAAATGATAGCTAGGAAGAGGTCAGCAGAATAGAATCTCAGCCCCATTGATTACTGTAAGAGGTGGTATGGCTCAGCGTAAGTCAATGGAAATCCGCAAAGCAATGACCCTATGTGAAGCAGTGTTCAGACTTCGCGATGACGCGCGTCGGCGCTACAGTTGCAATGGCGCTGCAACCCAATAAACGCGATAACAGCCACGCACGGGAATCGATCGGCGTCAGGCGTTTGGTCTGGAGAAGGTGTAGCATAACAGGAGGGCGGGCGGCGCCTTCACGCAACCTGGTACTCTCCCAATTTCTACTATCCCAAACCCTAGCGGCCACTGCCGATCGATACCAGACTGCACGATTAGGCAACGCGTACTCCTCTGTTCCCCTATACTCCCCAGCGGTCGGCGCCGATCGATGCATATCTGCAACTGCGTTCGCGTCTACAGCCTTGGGCGCTGTTGCAGTGTTAGCGCGTTACAGCGCGTCGACACGCTTAATCTCGAACTCTGAACGCAGGCCAAACCTGGTACTGAGCACAATAAAGTAACTACCCAAGTGTCTTTCTATTGCCTAGCGAGCATTACCAGAGATTCCTATCTACAGACCAACTAGAGATTAGGCACTACGGATTAACGAATATTAATCCTCAAAAAAGCAGTAACGTACCTCCACTTCTAACCATTTCCTTATAACGAAACGAGAAGATGATGAAGAACGCTTGACACAATGTGTAAAATGTACCATGCCGAATGACGCCAGGCAGAAGCTAAAGTACAAAGAATATAGGAAACATCGCTCAAATTTTCTCTTCAGAACAGTTCACCTGTTTATTAGTTACCCCGCAATTATCAAGATATTGTATGCACCAGCCAACAATTCGGGACATCCACTTCATAGCCAACCTAAATATATTTCCGTCCGGAAATATTTGCTAAGAGTTCGAAAGAAATGGAATGTATGAGAAAAAGCACTCACTGAAGGTCGAGATATTTCGCCCTAGCTAGAAAGGCAGCCAGATAAGCAGCAGCACCATGTCCTTTTGCTACATCTGACTGGGCGACTTGAGGCCGTACAATGACGGACCACAAAAATTCGAGCGTTCGAGTAGCATAACTCTGCACCGAAAATTGCTTTAACAGAGAATATACAAAGGGAATGGACACCAACAAAACGGACACCCGTTTTCTATGAAAAACAGTATGTCAGAAGGTAAGCACACCTCATCAAGACTGCAAAGGTAGAGCCAGATGAATGGTGTGTAGCGAACGTGTACAGATAGCAACATACGACTTTCCAAAATTGATAGAAGTATAGAAAACACTTCATCCCCCTTTGCCGCACTACCAAGGCGCAACCAATTCGTATCTAAACAAGAATAATGAAGTGAAATTGTAGAATATTCTCCAACTTAAGTACAAATGTGAAAACAGTGAAGTAGTACCACAGCTTGCACTTACTGCTAAGCAATTTAAAGACAACTCCCGCGTTCAAGCGTCGTGGATAGTGGGTTCTATTATGAAGCTGATAAAAAAATCAAAATAATTTCAAAGAACACCATAATCAGAATCGCTCCTTTACACTTACACAGCCTAATGGTACGAGTTCTCCGGACTTGATGGCACCTCGACGCCCTGGGGTCTTTGCACAACCCCAGGCTTAGATATCGCTTTGCGCATCTTCCAGTACTAAATGCCACCCAGTTCCAGAAAAACAAAACACCTGAGCAAAACTCGCGACAGGAGCTAACTTTCGAATTTCGAAAAGGAGAGCTTTGTTTTATCGGCGGTCCCAAGCCTGAGGCGAGTAGTCAGAAACTAATACTTCGCGGCGTAGCTGTGTTGACGAAAGTGGGACTATTGTTCTAAGTCTGGGCAGGCTGGACTACTTGCACAAGAAAGACGACCATCTCTTTGCTTGAGCGCGAGGTCTGTCTTTACATAGAAATTTACTTAAAAAATAAACTATTTTATATAGGACAAACCGCCTAATGCTTCCGTGCTGTCGTTATGTTTAATGCAATGTAACACAATACATCTCGCATAACACCGTCAAGTTTTGCCATCGTATCGCCCTCATCGTTGTCAGCTTCTTGTTGTTGGTCCTCATCCTTGGAAACATGAATTTTTCGCTGTCTAGGGCGTATTTTTTGCTCTTGATAAGCTTCTCTCACCATGTCAAATATGGAAGTATCAACTGCACCCTTCTTGTCATTGCGATATTCCGACTTTGAAAGCATGTTCTGCAACAGAGAATAAGGTTATACTGGTAGCCAGCGAGTTCAAGAGTTGATATATAACAAACAGAGCTTCACCAAAAAGACTTCCAAAAGGCAGCAGGCCCGAATTTCCCAAACGGCGGTTCATTTCACTCAAACGACCCCCTCCCCCAGCCGGAAACTACGACCCCCCCCCCTATGTGTTTCACACAACGATGCTGTACCATGTTCCCTGGTCCTTCAGAGTAGCAAATTATGAACGCGACCTATTTAGGAACGACTGCTGAACAACGCATTTTAAAGTGAGGAAACAGGATTTGTTGGCACAATTTCTCAGCTTTTTCTAGTGTACTTCCCGTGCCAGATTTTTTGTTGCGAAAAATAAGATGGTAAGGTGAATAAAACAAACTCACATCACACATGATCATTTGGTCGATTATAAGATCCCAGACTTCAGCACGAATGTTGCCTACATACTCTAGACTTTGGATCACATTCCTCATATAACCAGTAAAACGCCAACTATCATGGCTGAAATGTGGAACACCGACACGCAGCGCTTTCAGCAGGATTTTGTTGGACCTGAAAGGCAGAGTCGTCAATCACTTATGCAAAGACATTTTTACGAAATTATAAGTCTCAATCCCACATCAATCGAAACATAAAAATATGGAAATAAGCAAGACTTCAATCGAAATCAATTATGTGTAGTTATTTGGCTCATTTTCCCATTTGCTTTTGCTCGAGAGCATCCATGGATTACTATAAGAACGTGCGTAACTATCACAGTCACACCTTGATTTATCTGCTCAACGGACATTGTAAGGGGGGGGAGAGTAGTACTGCGTCATATTTTGGAGAGAGAGGGGGGGTTTAGTGTTTGGCTTGTAGGAGTTGTGGTTGCCTTTCGGCGATTTTCCTGTTTCATGCGTAGTATATGCCCCCCCCCTACATACCCACCCGAAACACGACAGGAGTTCATGACACTCGGAAACTGGGTTCAGATCGTGACATCTCTCGCATTTCACACTCTCTCCAATGACTCTGAACTTTACCACCTATTCACTCCAGTACGCTAATTAAGTTGCGTGTATTCTGCACAGCACCTTTTCCTCCCGTCCCCAGCCGTATCAAAATGAGTATTTCATCCAAAATAGACGACTCGTGTGGGCACAGCGCATCGTCATCCCTTTCACCTCTAACTGTTCTGCTCAAATGAGAACTGAAATTTTTATGCTCGATGTGCTGTTTCTAAAACGAAAGTGGTAATTGGAAAGAAAAGGATTCGAAGGGGTTGGAAGCACACGAAAAAGTAAAAAGTCGCAAAAATTATGAAGAAACCCACATTGGAAAGCACTTCAGAATCTGAGCTATAACTCGATGAGCCATGGTATAATACTTATCTTGCTCTTCAGTAGTCAATGCGAGCTCTGTAGTTTTTGTTTCTTCTGAAACCCAAAGTTTAAAAGGTGTCCAACAAGAGAATAGATAAATTCTAAATTAATTAGTAATCACCATCAAACTTCACCACCGGAATAAGATTAAAGACCGCACCACAATAAATCACTTCCGTGTGAGTAACCTAAAATCAGACAGACTTCCAGTAATGTAGTAAAATGGCAAGCTCGAAACCTCACCTGTCGAATAGCCACATCACATAGCATATTCAAATATCGATCAATTATTTCATCTGGTATCGCTGGCCAACTCAACCGCTAAAATATCGGAACCGATAAAAATGCGAGAAATACTTGGAAAAGAGCATTCCAACAAGCACATAACTTCAGCATTTTCGAATGTTTGGGGCTCGAAAACTGTTGGATTGAAGATGAAAAAAGGTGGAATTCTCGACGAATTATAAACACTTGCCATTCCACTCAGAACTGCAGCGGCTTCTTGAATTAGAAGCTGCCTTTACTGCGACCTGCGGGTGGCCGAATCCAATGTACGAGTCAATGTCTTCATTCAAACAAGTGTGAGCCAAATTACGGATTTAGGACATGGAAGGCTTGCTTCGCTAGCGCGGAAGCGATCTGATCCCCTGCACCGCGCGTGGAAAGAGGGGCCACTTCTTTTTTGAGCCAAGCTTTTGAGAAAACGTCCAACGGTGGAAATCGATCAGAAAACTGATCTCTTGTTCAGTTTGGCATAAGCCTTGCTCTGCTCTATTATTATTCGATGCTACTTCCCACGAATTGTACATAAGTTCCCGCTAAAGAAAATTAGTCAAAGAAAGTAGCCAAAAAAGCGAATTTACCCACCTCCCCTCTCCCTAGAGCGTCCCTTCTGAATTCCATCTTGTAGTGACATTACATACGACCTGCTTTCTATGAACCGATGCCCCGTTGTTTGAACTCATTTATTAACCCATTTCTAACAAATTAGTTCAGGTTCTTATGTCTTTTATTAAACCACAGATCTTTTCGGCCAGTCGCATTGTACGGCGCTGGGTGCTACCAAAGAAGTAGGGACGTACTAGAACCGAAGTGACAAAGATGGAAACATTGGGCTAGAATCCCGATGTCACGCCAATGAATCACATTTTCTAAACGCTCGACACTGGGTTCAGCTCTGCAACTGATAAAATGCGTGAAGCTTCAACTCAGTGATATGACCAGTAATTCATGAGTAATTCACATGAAAGCTAACATCACTCGCAAGACTGGACTTCAGCTGAAGATACTTGGATACTTGGGGAAACAGAAAAACCACGCCTCAAGCAGCTCTGGCTCGACATGCTGCATGCGAACTTGGGGCTGGTACCCGATTACGAACTGAACACGGAAAAATAGCTTTAGAAAACCAAAACAGCGGACCTCGATACATAGTGAGTCAAATAACCAGCGCCAACTACCTTCGAATCCGCGTGCAAAGTGTTTATCCAGCTCAGCTTGAGACATCCCTAAAGACGGTCTCCGGCTTCACTGTATGTAATGAAGGCGCTCCGGCCCTCACAGTTGCAGTTCTGACGCCCCCTTAGTAGTCCCGGCCACCGAAACTCAAGGGCTACTTTCGGTCACGAATGCAGTTTTTACACCGTGGTTTCTTTTTTTCCACTGGTGGTATTAGCAGTGGATGACGTGGAGAAATGATTAGTAAGCCAGAGGCGGGAGGATATCACTTTACTTGGATAAAACGAGCAGGTACGGAGAGTTCGAACAGGCTGTCAGGGGTCCTTACTCATAATGTTCTCTATGATTATTTTTTTGCTATTTTTCTTGCATGGAGAGTCACTTAGCGATTCTAAGTTCGTAGTCGAACGCCACTACCCACAAATGCAATCGCGGGGTTTTCTATAATCCGCTTTCCGAGCACTTTTAATTAGAGATGCTGAAGGAGAACAAGGAAAATAGGCTTAACCAGAAAACGAATTACTGAATCGCCATCCTTCAGTCAAAGGAATAAGGAACTCACTGCGAGATTTGTAACGAGCTCTGTACAACGGCTGTCCAACAGGTCGCTCACATTAAGGAACTGCTCCAAAAACTGAATTTTCGCAGCTGGTTCCCATCTTGGAAGTATGTCGAGAGCGTTGCAGATTTTACGGTATGTTATCAAAGCTATAGACTCTCCCTGAAAACAGAAACAAAGCTACTACATCTTACTTTACAGCATCATAGCAAAAGCTGGAGTACTAGGGGTTTTATTATTACTTCAAACGAACAAACCTTAAAGTATTGTGTAAGAATATCCCTCCCTGTGACCACTTGTTTAGGTTTCGTCTCCGGATTTGTTTCTACGTCCTTGGACACACTTTCTTTCGAAGAACTCTCATTTATGGCAGTATCAGTAGTGGACGTCATTTTGATTATATGTTAGACTCTATTAAATACAGCTTTATTCACCTGAAAGACGAGCAGATTGTTTGTCACCTTTTTAAGTGAGAAAGTTCCACTTACCTAATATTTCAAAAGATTATAAGAGATGCTCCTACTTTAGAGACACCTCGGATTCTTTAGCGACTATACTGTGAGCATACCAACCCAAGCTCTGAAACGGAAGCTATCAATGTGATAATCCTTAGACGTTCATAAATCAGCGGTTCACACTCGGACGAAACGGAGAACCAGCGATTCCACGTTCTCGGGAAAGCACGTCAAAAAAGTCGACGAGTCCCACACACTCCGAAAACGTCGAGTTGCCTATTCTCTAATTTTCTCTGAATACTGAATCAATTTTAAGGATGCTTGCTGTGAAAAACAACTAGTTCGGATATGAGTATGAGTGAGTAAAATACCGAGTTTACCGCTACCAACAAGAAGG